GACACCATTTTACTGATATGTGTTTTACTATAAATGTGTCATGTTCGAGTCGGTTACAGTCAAGTAAGGATTGGCACCCTTGTATTGCTTTCAGTACCAATTAATTTGTCGGTTGTCATAATGGCGAAAAATTAAAAATTGAAATTTAAAACATTCAACTCAAATTATTTACCTTTGATTGGTGAAAAGTATCCCTAAAAATCGAAAAAATAATAAATAGATATTATATAAATCAAAGGAAAAAAAGAAAAGAAGAAAATAAATCAAAGGAAAAAATAAATGATTAAAATAATCAAAGAGAAAAAATAAATAATAATAATAATAATAATAAAATAAATCAAAGGAAAAAGATAAAAATAAATTAAATAAAAAGGAAAAAATAAAAAAATGTTAAATAAAGTAATAAAATAAAAATAATAAGAAGTAAAAAATTAAAAATAAATAAAATAAAAACCACTAAAACTAAAAAGAAAAAAAAATGAATAACTAAAAATTTAAATGACCAAATTGAAATTGATGGATTAACTTGGTACTAAAAATGAGATGCAAGAGAAAAATAAAAAGTTAGGGGGCCAATTTGTAAAATAAAAGAAATGTAAATAGGGATTAAATTGAATAAATTAAAAATTCGAAGGTAAAATTACAAACGATGATCGAATTGAATTATGCTTCAAACTTACAGGGACGGCCGAAAGGATTTAAGAATCCTCTAATTGCAAAGAGGTCATTGGCATATAAATACCCAAAACCCCATTTCTAATTCATTTCAACATTTCTCTCAAATATCATCTCCCCCAACACTGTAAATTCTCTCAACTCTCCCCTAACCAGTCGAAGGCCGGCCACCGTTCGGTGGTCTCCCCGCCACGCCGACCGAAAAAGAACCTAACCTCACCAAAATGAACCTCTCAACACCCTCAATACCAATCCGAAGCCCAAATCTCACAACAAACCCCTAAACGGTGTAGATCTAAGGTAAAAGTTTCGACTTTTACCCTTTTTCGTCGGTGACCCTTCGTTTTCCGATGACCGTCAGCTTGGTTCCCTCAGCCTTGATTTTTGTTCTTGGTCTCTGGTTTTTTTTGTTTTTGTTTTGTGATGGGTTCGACTGTTGATATTTGCTTATGTTTTGTGTTTCGATGTTTTGGCTCTTTGTTGGTATTGTGGTTGTGTTTTGTTCGACGTTGATATGTTCTTGTGTACTGTTGGTTTCGATCTTCGTTGTTCTGTTCTGTCTCTGATCGTTCAATGATGTCCCTTTTATAGCCTTCGAAATGGCTATTTTAGGTCCCGATGATCTCGGTGTTGTGGGTTGTTGGTTGACCGAACACCCCGGGATGGTTCAGTCCCGGGGATCTCGGCCGGCCTTTTCTGTGTTGACTGGCGCGTGGTCCTCGGGTCCCCCTCAAGAACCTTCTTTGCGACGCCAGTGCTAAAGATGTAACCCTACTTGACCCTTGGGTTGGTTCAGGCCCGTTTAACCTATATTGGACCCGAATAGATTCTTGGACCCTAAAAATATTAGAGTATGCCCAAAGATCAATCATATGATGATTGTAATAATATATTTATTTACCGATTTTATTGAATAAAGGCATTGCCACTATTTTCAGTTATATGTTTGTGTTAACATAAACTGAAAGATAATAAAGTCTATATAATAACATTATTAAAAGATCCATAGTCAAGTATTATTATGGGCATGGACAATAATAATATGCTTAAGACTAACATGGTATTGATTGATGACAAGGAGTTGTCATTGACATAGAGATGTCAGAATTGATACATGATTATATTGTTAGAGAACAATGTATTGGATTGACCCATCATGAGCAGTCTGGATTATTATGTAACGGTCATAACATTGCTCATGGTGATACTATATATGATCCTCAAATTTGATATCAATGCCATCCCAACATATATTGTTGTATGTTTTGATACAGTTAAACATGCTCCGTAACTGGTTGCACTATAAAGATTGTTATTGAATATTTCGATATATGTAATGGAGTGTATATGGTTAAGATAGGATTTGTCCTTCCTATATAATAGGAAATATATCACAAGCCATTTGATAGAGTGAGACTAGAAATGCATGACCATGCTCGAATAAGTTGATATGTGATATCATATTCGTTAATTATAATCTACTCTAGATATCAAGAAACAATAGATGGACTATACAAGTAAATTATTCTAAGACTTGTGCCTATTCTAGATATAAAGGACAAAATGATGTAATACATAAAAGAGTTAATCACAAAGATGATATGTCGAATCATAATTTCTTGTAACTTAGGTGACTATGATATATTGCTAGATGTCACTCGTTGTATGTAATATTAGAATTGTTCTAATAATTACTACTAACGTTACAAGAACCCACATGGTCACACCCTATGATTGCAATGAGCAAAAATGTACAATTTGTTGTATGTTACTAAAATATATCTAGAGTTATGATATGTATATTTGATATACATATGATTTTAATTATCCCGAATATAGTAAGTAAGCATTAAAAGAATGTAATTTAGATTACAAATCTTTTAATTGGTATAAATAATTCGAAATAATTAAATAAGTTTTTAAATAAACATTAAAGATTATAATTCAGATTATAAGTCTTTAATGTATATTTAATTGAATTAATTAAATAATATTTTATTGTTAATTCGAAATAACTTTGAAAACCCTAAGATGTTAGGATAATGGATATAAAAGGGTGTGTTAGGTCTACCAGCCGTTTTTAACACACACACATAAACTTTCAACCATTTTTCTCTCAAAACAGTTTTGGGAAAAACAAATATTGCTCTCAATCGGGTGAACATAGTAGAGGTCGAGACATAATTTTGTGGAGGCTTACGATTCGAACCGATCTACACCACTAGTATTCGCTGCTGTTCTTGCTGTTTTTCAAGAAACCCGCTGTAAGTATTCACATTATTTCCTCCCGATTTTGATTTTACGTACTTGGATCGCTGGTGAGACCGTCAAGTTTGTTTTCACTGCGTTGTGGGGTACGCCGACGGTCCCAACAAAAAAGATAAAAAAATAAAAAAGGAAAATAATAATAATAATAAATAATAATAAGAAAATGAAATAAAGAAGATAAAAAATGTTTTTATTATGTGTATTTAAAAACGTTTTCAAAACCTATATATTTTCAAAATGTTTTAAAAAACTATGTATTATATAAGTTTTCAAAATGTTTTAAAAACTATATATTATATAAGTTTTCAAAATATTTTAAAAAACTATATATTATATATATTTTCAAAATGTTTTAAAAAAATTATATTATATAAGTTTTCAAAATGTTTTAAAAACTATATATTATATACAAGTTTTCAATATGATTTAAAAACTATATATTATATATATTTTCAAAATGATATAAAAAAATTATATATTATATAAATTTTTTCAAAAAAAATTTTTTAAAAAACACAAAAAAATCTTTCAAAAGATATTAAAATAAATAAAATTTCGGACCAAAATCAGTGTCTACAAAGATCATATAATAAAAATGTGAAAATTTATTCAAAACTCAAACCATAAATAGATACGAATAAATCTGACTGTTACGTTAAACAAACTATAATAGAGGATTTAAATATTGAAAGATCATCGATAAACACAAATCATAACTAAATAATGTGAGAAAAATATCTACGAACAAAGATTGTGTATTCTACTCTAATTCAATTGTCCAAAATAGAAAAGACTAACAAAATAATAAATTATCATCATCTTAATCAGTCTTGACGATGTCCAATCTGTTCCTCAGAAAAACAAATGAAAAAAACTGTTAATAACCATTGCGAACCTCGAAATGAGACGAAAGATAAAAAAATGTGCTAAAACAGAAAATCATGTCAAAATCGCGTTGTTAAAAATAAAAAATAAAGTTGTGAGATAAAAAAAAGCAAAAAATATTGACTACGAGAATCAATGCTGTTGCTTACCAACTCTTACCAACTACCCTATTTTGTTGGATCAAGATTGGCTCTAGATGCCGATTGTAATGAATCGAAAAGATAGTGAAGGAAGATTAAGAGGAGACTGAGATTTCAGAGAGTTGGAAGAAGAAGAAACAGTAAGATTTTATTTTCATGTATTCCCATTTGTGTACAATTGGATCCACACGACATCGTTCCACCAATCATCTTCAACAATTATCTCAGATTTCCTAGAATCCTCAAATTCGTTCTCAGTCCCATTCCACAGCCTTTCTTCACGATTGATCTCTGCCCAGCCTCCAAGGCCATGACAATATCACTCACTAATTGATTGAAAGGATCATATAATTATATTAACGTTATGAATAAGTAGTCAAAAGTGATGATAAAACAAAATTTAAGGGTCATATTTTGTCCCCCTAAAAATTTTAAGACCTAAGAATTTGGGTATAGCTCAGGGTCAATTTACCAATTAATTTTTTTTAAAACGATAAAGTTGAGGGAAAATGAGCATGTTAATTCATGGTCAAATTCAACAATAAAATTACTTGGGGAACATAAGATGACTTGGTTCAACAATCCAACTACCCATTATTTAATTTTCTTTTCTTACAAAACAGTTGAGGCTTGGAATCGGTGAGTTCGAGAAATGAAATACCACATATATATATATATATATATATATATATATCGAAATTCAAATCTCTAACCTGTCCGATGACACCTCTCAAGAGAGACACGAACCGGTTCCGTGTTCGACTCGAAGATGCTATCCATATACAAACTCAGCAATGCTTTTTTCTTTTTTGTTCTTCGAAACTTTTAGTGTTCAGACATCTCAGATGGCTTCTTAACCTCCCGCAGCTGGACGGAGTTGTCGAAGCAGTAATAGAAACCATAGTGGGAATTTCATAGCATGTCTCTTGCTCCACAGTGTGTCCAATGCTCCCCGCTGCTACTCTTACCGTATTTGTGAAACCATCCGGTGCCGTGTGTTGTTCTCCCACGTCCAGTTCCAATCGATCTCCATGCTTCCCTGCACCATGTTTCCCCTTGCTTTACACCCCGTTGGGGTCGAAATGCGTCCCACTTGTCACCCATTTCGCCCAACCGTCGCCTTCGCACAGCTCCGCCCATTTGTCGGTGTATTTCACGATGCCGCCATATCCGTCTTATTGTTCACCCCACCTGCCAATGTTGCAAAAACTTCGTGATCAAAACATATGAAATGGTGCAAAATCATATCAAACTAGATAAGAAGCTTAAAACCTTTCATGCCAAACATGAGCATGACCAGATTCGAGGGGTGTTCGGTTCTATACTGCACCACTTGTCAACTCATTTCTCGGATTCCCCGATGCATCATAATCTTCCACCATTTTTCGTGCCACTTCGCACCCTCAGCATTCTTTCCCCGCTTATCAGCAGTTTTTCAAGATGTACAAGTCCATTCTCCTGCACCAGGCAACACTTTCAGATTTTTTTTCTGAAACAATATCTTAGCATGATCCAAGGTTTTTCGAACGGCTTCGAAGGCAAATTAAAATTATTAATGTTGCAGTAAATTAGAGAAGACGAAAAGGGAACAAAAGATACCATCAATAGACTTTGAGGTAAATATGAGATCACACATTTCTATCATGCACTACAAGCAACCTAATAATGAAATTCAGTTTCAAGTACTGTAATCTAGTAGTGTATAGACGAGTGAGCTAAACCTACACGCGATTCATCTAACATTCGATTAATTTACTACAATCCTACAAGTTTCTGATCCCAACCATTCAATATACAGGGTTCTCAACACACATACTTGGAGCTTAGATGGATTATACACTATGGATGATCAAAATTCATAAATATATCACAATTTAATATGGATGATATGAACACTAGAAATGTATCATCGCTAATTTTACTGACCTGCAACATCGATTCTCTCCACTTTTCACTCCATACATTGCCATAAACATCACGTCCTGATTTCTTAGAACTGAGTTCTTTGTAACCGAATTCATTGGAAGCCTCCCAATACTTATCTTGCCATTCAACAGCTTGATCAACACTAACACCCCGAATCATTGTCCACCTGCAAATCACACCATCGGGTCTTTGCTCAACTCCTGTTTCCATCCACCATCTAGTTCCATCTTGATTGACTCCTTGGGATGATAATTCTTTGGCCATGTGAATGGCATCAGCTGCTTCGACAGCATATGCAGAAAATTCCACTCAAGGTCGTGTTCCACTTCTAAAGAATTCTCTTCTACAGCAACCTCAGATACTTTTGTTTTATCAACCTCTACCAGTGACTGAAACGGTGGAAGATTGCGGGTCGTCTCATGAGCTTTCTTCTCGAAAGGAATAGAGAGGAAATGGAGAGACCGATCTTTCTCTAGAACCGGACGACTAGAAATTGGAAGCTCCGAAGTTTGTCTAGCAACCTGCAACTCTTCCATTTCATTTGAAATCTGATCAGTACTTTGAGGAGGTGTCCAGGACCAAAAATCTGGACCAGGTGTTACATTTCCAGCATTTGTCGGTGGACTAACGAAAATGCTCCCACTCTGCTTTCCTGTTAAATTAGGATTCATTTCACTATGATAATTTTATTATAAACTGAACTCATATGATCGTTCCAACTTTGGGTTCTCTGAAATTTATCAGCTGCTAAGCGCCAGAAGTGAAATTAGCAGAGATCATTACGATGCATTACAAATGCAAAGATTTTAGTTCATACCGTCTTCTTGAACCCTAAATGTATTGCGGTTTTCGCTGCTGGAATCATCCTTCCTCGAGAAATCCTTGTTCTGGATAAGGAAGCGAGCCGCCGCAATCGCCGCCGCAGCACGATCAATCACTTGCATTCTATGAATACGATTCCTTTCCTCCTTAGAAGTTTCCAAAATCTTCTGGAACTCCTGGCTCTTCTTCTCGAAAACCTCTTTCTTCTCACCACCGCCGCCGCCACCGCCGCTGTCATCGGCCAAATTAAGAACGAGTTTTTGAAACTCGGCTTCCTTCTTTTCACCTGTCCTTGGCCTTCCTCCACATACCGAGGTACGAACCGTCTCCATCAACGGCTCTAATAAACGTTAGCGTCGTCCCGCTCCTCCTAATTCTTTGGCAAAACAATTTTGGCGCTGCGAAGGCCGTCCCGATTATTTTTAGCCTCGGGGCGAAAATTAAAAAAATAAACCCCTAATCTAAAAAAGTTAACAAATATCCAATATAAATATTTTATTAAATTTTTTAAAATTAAAAAAAATATTAATTTATTACAATATAAAAGAGGTCAAAATATATATTTAAGAATATAAATACTTATAAAAAAATATTATATTAAAATATTTTTATGTAAAACCATTGATGATCATTGATGATAGTGTCAACATCAATTCTTTCTAAATTATTTTTCTCAATACATAACATAACATTTGAAAATGAAAGAACGATCTTTTCTAGAATTTAAAAATATATAAAATTAAAAGAAAGAATTTGAAAACATGATCTACGTAGAATTTTAAGAACAATCTTCAATATTATTAAGCACCATAATTGATAACAAATAATTGGACTTTAACGTGTAATACAAATTTCCTCTCATTATGATAAATAAAAAATGAGAATAATAATTTTCAGATGAATCGTGAAACATGAAAAAGAAAAAACATACTAATATACTTAAATTTCCTCTCATTAAGTTTTGGAAAAAATAATGTTAATAACTTTTATTGATATGAAAAATCGGGAAAGAGATTTGGTGAATTGATAGTGAGAATTTGAAAAGACCAAAATTAAAGAGTTCAATTGATTTTTTTTTTTAATTTTGAGAAAGAAATTAAATTAGAATTTTATGAAAAAATAGTTTATTACGTTAACATAAAATTCAATAAAGATAATTGACACCTTAATAAATTCATGGGTCCTATTATTTTATTGAGTAAATTATGTATTTAGTACCTAAATTACTAGTTTTGATATGTTTTAATACCTAAACTTTATATTATTTTTCAAAATCATACGTAAACTTTAATTTTTGTTTCATTTAGTATATGTCGTTTAAAACTTTAGTTTTTTATTTCATTTTCTATCCATTCAAAATTTAACATTAAGTTTTAAATTTTTTTTGAAATGTTAAGTACTAAAACAAACCAAACTATAGTTTATATTAAATGCGTTAAGTTTTTAACGACAGGTACTAAAATGAAATTAAACTAAAGGTTATATATGATTTTGAAAAAAAAAATAAAAATTTAGATACTAAAACGGATCAAAAATGATAGTATAAATATTAAATGCATAGATTACTCTATTTTATTTTATAACCTTTTAATTTATTATTAAAAAATAAAAAATATTATACGAAAAAAATTATTTTATGGGCCCTAGGCGGCTGACCTCCTGCCGTAGCCCAAGGCCATCCCTGCGAAGAGCACGCGTCTACGGTGGTGGGAAGGGAGAGCAGTGGAGGAGCGTAGAGGGGCGCGTGAGAGAGAAGCCATATTGTTTGAGGATTGATTGTTGGCGAGTGAGAGTGGAAATGAGTTTGAAAGTGGGAGACAACGTTGGGAGTTGGGACTAGGGCTGTAAGTGACACGAGACAGATCGCGAGCTATTCGAGATCGACTCGATTAAGGCTCGATAAATACTCGGATCGAATGGATTCGACTCGAGCTCGAGCTCGACTCGAGTTCCTAACGAGCCGAAATGAGCTACTCGAAATTCGACTCGAAAAGCTCGTGAGCAGCTCGAAAATATAATATATTAAGATTTTATTTTTTAGAAAATAAATTATTAATAATATTAATATTTATGTATTGATTTTTTTAAATACAGTAAGATTTTTATGTATTTAAGGTTCATGTTCGAATTTGAAGTTTCAATCGAGTTAAGTTTAAGAATTTTTTTTTCATTTGAGCCTTTCGAGCTGCTCACGAGCTTCAGTTCAAGATTTCGAGTTCGAGTCGAGACGAATTTCAGAATTTTCGAGTCGAGTCGAGCTCAGCAATACTCGAGCTCAACTCGACTCGTTTACACCCTTAGTTGGGACTCTCCCTTTTTTATGAAACAAACAAAATTTGAAGTTAGCGCCTGATTTTATTGGTAATCTTGATCACTCCTTAGAGCTGGGTATAAGGGCTAAGGCCCGCGGGCTACCCGTTTAACCCACGATCCGTGCGGGCTTCGGGCCTCAAAAATTGAAGATCGTTTAAATTACGGACTTTTTAGCCCGGACCGTTAAACCCGCGGGTTTAATGGGTATAACCGCGGGCTACCCGTTAAACCCGCTAAAGCCCGCTTAATTTAAAATTTATAAATTTTAGAGAAAATAAACTTAAAGAATTTTATAGAAAAGAAATAAATTACCTATAAATATGATGTTACTTATAACTATTGTAGTTTTTAAATTTATTAGGGCGTTTGTCATAATTTTACCGTGCTTGATATTTTTTTTCATTTAAATATACATCATTATCATTTGGTATTTAAAGATTTTTTTATTTAATTTTGACCTTTATTTTTTTTCATGAAGTATGTTATCCATTTTGTTCTTTAATTATAAAAGTCACGTGATATTCTAATAATATATCACATGACACGCAATATTGGATTAAAAATAAGAAATAAAAGTAAAAGAAAAAATTGAAAACATACTTTTCAACTTTTAAAGACTTTTACAAAATAAATATATTTAACAAATTAATGACTTATATTTATCAATTTTAGTATAACTGTATCTTTCAAATTTACTCTTATACTGTAAGTATTTTTTTTATATTTTCATATTATATTTTAGTATTTCTCTAAAGTATCCATAAAATACAATTATTAGGAACACTTGACAACTTTCTTGTTAAATTTGTATAATGTTTGACTTTGTTGAATTTTATGTTTGAATTTATGCTTTCAGACACTTCTGTGTCTTCATATTATAGCCTTGAATAATCGTGTTTTATAAAAGTATAATGTGTTATTGTTTTATTTGTTTTTCAATTTGGTGTTATAAGTAAATATGTTTTTTAATTTGAGTTTAAGTAATTATATCATTATATATATAAATATATATTAATGATTAAAATTTTTAAAAAATATTATTTTATAATCATTTTCGGTTATTTAAAATAAAATTTAAATATTATTTATTATTTTGACGGTGCTACCTTCCTTTTCAAGTTGCTCGATCATTTTTAAAGGTGTAGTAAGTTAAAATATTATTTTTTATTGCATTTAAAGCATTTTAAATTATTTTTATTAAACGGGCCGCGGGTAAGCCTGTTTAGCCCGCAGTTTAAATGGACGGGCCGCGGACCTTAAAATTTAAAACCGTTTATGAATACGGGCTTTTTAGCCCGCTCCATTTAAGCCCGCACCGTCAAAACCCGCGGGCTAAACAGGCGGGTAGCCCGTATACCCACCTCTATCACTCCACTTATCTGTATTTAGATAATAAATAAGGTAAATTATTACTTTAATAACTAAACTTTCATATGATTCTTATTTTACTTATTTTACTTTCAAAATTTTCAATTTGCTCACTCAACTTTATAGATTGATTTTTTTGTCACTCTGTCGTTAAGTTTCTCACGCCATTATGACGTGGTTTAGAGAAATAAATTTTAATCGTTAAAAGCCACAGATGCTACGGCAGGTCAAAAACATGAAAAGGTAAATTATAAATTTGATAACTGAACTTTCATATCATATTTTACTCACACAACTTTATAGATTGAGTTTTTTTGTCACTCTACTATTAAGCTTCTCATTGCCAATGATTGTCCACCGTTGCCCTCATCGCTGAACCTATCTTCTACCAGTGGTGGCTCGCACCACCATCTCCAGAAGTACCAGTGTCGCCTCCTGATCAAAGCCCTACCCTTCACCGTTGATGAAAGCCCGTCGTTCATCGTAAAATCATAGGAAATTGTTTGATGACCAGTCGTTGATCTCTGTCACTGTTAGACGGTGATCGTCACCGCCAGTACCAATGTGAGCGTCAGGCCATCGCGACCAAAACCCTGGTGGTCGATTGTCAAGGCTCCTCGTCGTTCGTCGTATTGAAATCGTTGAAGGTTCATCGGGAAACCAAAGCTTCCCATCGGTTTTCATCAATTTTCGATCATTCTGGTTGTTTGTTCGTCTCACCGCCACCACTACTGAAGTTTTCTTCTTTTTCCGACCAAAACCCAGTCGATTTTGCCTCTCATCATCGTTGCATTTGTCATCATCATTGGTTAAGCAGTTCAAACTTGTTTTCCGGCCACCCCGCGTCCGTTCGTCTCACCTCGACTCACCGCGACCAAAAACTCAATCTATAAAATTGAGTGAGCAAATTGAAAATTTTGAAAATACGGTGAGTAAAATAGAAATCATATAAAATTTTAGTTATCAAATTTATAAATTGCCCTTATTATTATTATCATGTCCGATGTGACATGTTTAATATTAAAATATTCCACGTCAACGAGCTGTTAGTGATATAACGGTGGAGTGATAAAAAAATTTCAATCCACAAAGTTAAGTGAGCAAATTGAAATTTTGAAAGTATAGTGAGTAAAATAAGAATTGTATGAAAGTTTAGTTACCAAATTTGTAATTTACCCTAATAAATATTATCAATTATTAACCAAGTTCCATAAATAAGATTTAAAATTTGAAATATTATATAAATATTAAGGGTAAACTATAACAGTGACCACTTAACTATAGTCATTTTTATTTTGACCACTATCTTTGAATTTTTATCAATTAAGTCACTCAACTATTTAAATTCATTCAATCACATCACTTGCCATTAACAGTTAATGGTAGTGCTAATGAGGCATTTAATAAATTGATATAATTACACATTTGATCTTCAATATTATATATCCTATAAATTGATCATAATTTAATCTAATTTAAAGAAAATTTAATATCCAATTGGATGATGACATGTGTTACTATTAGATTGGAAGATATTTTATTAATTTTAATTATTTAATTTATTTCTTTTCCAATCAGGTGGCAACACGTGTCACCACCTTCGCCACCTTTGGATGCAAAACATTGAAAAATAACTAATTTTCTATTGACAAGGACCGAATAAGTGACCTTACACTCCACTATGCACGCATAAGCCATTAGGCGAAGCCACATTCTTGATAATATATTACAACATTTGTA